CTTGAATTTGTCGTTGAAATTCTTGAGCTTGTAGTAGTTGCTCCTCATACTCTCTTATTTTTGACTGTAATTTATTGATGGTTTCATCGTTAGTTTTATCCAAAGGAGTTGTGGATTTCTGATAATTCTCTTCGATAAATTGATTCATTTCCGATTTAAGTTGAAGAATAGACGATTCGATTTTGAAAATTTGATCATTTTTGGTTACTTTAATATCACTCACGGAAAGCAAATCAAGTGATTTCTTTTGTTCTTCTTTAAGTTGTTCAACTTCATCTCTAAGACGATGCACTATATCATTTTGATCTATTTCACTTACAGCAGCAGAAAAACCACCATCAGTATAAGCATCAGGAGACATAACTGACATAACTTCCAATTGCGCTAAAGCATCACGTCTTTTGATTTCTTCGCGAAGCTCTTCTACAATTTCGATAGTGGTCAAATGATTGGTTTCAAGACGAGCAAATTCTTGTCTAACAGCTTCTAAACCTTTAGCCTTATCGTCATGAAGCAATTCCAATTGTTTAAATTCAATTTGAAGTTTTTGTATCACAGCTATGCTAGCAAGTTCTCAGCGCCTTTAACTTCAGCAGATAATGATCTTGCCTTTCTACGTGTACCATGTAAATAAGGTGACAAAGAATCTGGATCATTTTGGCTATCAAAAGAAGAATCAGTCAATGGAGTTGAAGGAGTAATCTCAACTGTATTAAATTGTGGTGACTTTGCTTCAGCCAATTGAGCGTGAAGTTCATTGATTTCATCAAGACAACTCTGATGTTTATCCTTTATTTCTTCAAATTCCAAAACAGTATTTACATGAATTTTTTGAAGTTCGCATAATTTAGATTCAAGTTCTGAGACATTTGAGTAATCATTTGTTGATATTGAAGTGTTTAAACTGGATGATCTAGATAATGATGTCACAATGTAGGAGGATGGGTATGATGATAAAGAAGAGGAAGAGGAAGAAGGAGAAAGAGAGAATGAGGAGGGGGAGGAGGATAAATCATGTTTGTTGGGTTTTGATTTCAAAAATTTTAATTGACCGATTTCATTTACAAGTTCATCAACTTTTTTTTCTAGCTGAGCAATTCTCTTATCACGATCATCAATCTCGGCTGCTAATAAGATAGCATCCTCTTCACTATAAGCTTTTTCTTTGTTGAATTGTTCTTCTAAATTTGCATAGGCTTTTTCTCTCTCTTGTAAATGTTTTCCAAGTTGTGAAGCATCCTTATTTGCTTTAGCATATTTTTGTTCAGCTTTAGCTAATTTAGCTTCTAATTTCTGGATGATGCTTTCACTATTTTCAGCAGTTGAATTAAGTTGAGAAACTCTATTTTTCAATTCATTGATCGTTTCTTGATCTTTTTCTTGTTCAGAATCATGAGAATTAATTTTAGCTTCTAAACCTTTAATATAGGTTTCATTAGTTTCTTCAAGTTCATGATGTTGAAGTATTTGATTTTTTAAATCCATTATCACGTTTTTATCTTTATAACTTAAATCTTCAACTTCAATAAGTTTCATTTCATATTCTCTAATTTGTTTTTCAATGGAAGCTAAAGCGGCACGAGCCAAAAAAAGGTCACTTTCAAGATCAGCAATTGATTTTTCATATTCTTCGATAACTGGGCGTATAGTTTCCTGAAAGCTGGAAGGAACTGAATTAAACAAATCACTTTTATTATCATCACTATCATTGTTATTATGGTTGATGTTTTCCTCTTCTTTTATAGAAGCTAGTCCATTTGCCTGATTTTCAAAATTATCTTGATAAATAGATAGTTCAGCAGTAGTTTTTGCATGTTTTTTAGAAAGCTCAACATAAGAACGTTGCAATTCTGATAGTTGTTCCTCAAGGGATTCAACATCTTTCTGGAAGCCATTATTTGCGGTTGATGGAGTAGATGGACGACGGCCACCGGTATTACCAGTACCAATACCACTACCACGATCCAATGGAGTATCTCTGCCATCAGGTTGTAGAATAGGAGTATTTCTACCAGAGCCAGGATTATTTGATGAAAAAGTACCAACAGATTGCTTCAAAGCTTTTATTTCATTTCTAAGTTTTAAAACTAAATTTTGCAAATGTTCTAAATCATGCCATCCAGTTTCTTCTTGATTAACTGTGGCAATATTTTTAATATTTCTTGCACGATTAGCATATTTAAGGGTGTTGATTGTCTCGCTGACATTATACTCAGCAGGAGAAACACAAGCAATCATTAAGGTTTGAGCATTGCCACCTAATGAATCTTGTAGTAGACGAGTAAGTTTTGAATCACGATATGGAATATGGGTTATATTTTTTGCTCTTGATGGATCACCTAAAGCAGAAATTACATTTCCTAATGCTAATAAACCAGAATTAATGGATATTCCTTCTTTAGCTCTATCGCCTATTGAAGAAGTTCTTTTAAGCTAATATTGATATGAAAAATTATGGTTTGCCATCCAGTTTCTTCTTGATTAACTGTGGCAATATTTTTAATATTTCTTGCACGATTAGCATATTTAAGGGTGTTGATTGTCTCGCTGACATTATACTCAGCAGGAGAAACACAAGCAATCATTAAGGTTTGAGCATTGCCACCTAATGAATCTTGTAGTAGACGAGTAAGTTTTGAATCACGATATGGAATATGGGTTATATTTTTTGCTCTTGATGGATCACCTAAAGCAGAAATTACATTTCCTAATGCTAATAAACCAGAATTAATGGATATTCCTTCTTTAGCTCTATCGCCTATTGAAGAAGTTCTTTTAAGCTAATATTGATATGAAAAATTATGGTTGATTAATAAAACAAATTTATATAATAATGATTTTGAAAAAAAATTCTTTAATAATTTTATATGTATATACCCTTTCACTGCCAGCTAAATCTACAAAATGAAATTTACTTGTAATTGATACCCATTCACCCTTATCATTATCTTTTACGAACCCCGTTCTTGATGAATTACTAGTAGGAGATGTTGGTAATGGACTATCGCGAGCATCAGGTGATGATGAAGAAACCAATTTTTGTTGTGAAAGAGTAACGGAAAAGATGGCATGTGATCGAGATGATTGTGAATTCATATCAGTGACACTGACTTGACGATTTAATGATCCACGATTCAAATGACCCGTTATTTCATCAACACTAGTAACTTTAATTTCTTGTAAACCACTCCATATAATATTGCCTTTTGAATCTTCTCTGATCATTAATTGTGGTTTATTTTCCCCGTCGTTTTCTTCAGAAAGAAGATCAATAAGATCTTCATTGTATAATTCAACAAAGGACACTTTCACTGTACATTTACGATTCTTATACTGAGTAGAATTTATATAAGAAAAAAGTGTACTTATAGCACGCGGAATTATACCCTTTGACTCGGGAGATTTAGTGGAATTATCAGCAGTACCCATTGTATGAGTTTTACCTGATGATGTTTGACCATAAGCCAAAATTGTTACATTTTCGTTATCATCATCGCAGAAACAATAATTACCACAGGAGAAAAATATGAATATTTAATAATTAATTAAAAATTTCTAAATTTAAAAAACATTATGTAATTAATTATTATGTAATATATATATATATATATATATATATTTGAATAAATTATAAAAATATATTTTTTAAATTAATGATTATCACGGTTATTATGTTGAATACGATTGTAAGTGTTTTATAACCGAAGTAAATTATAAATGTCCCCAAGGTAGACCTGGCTTACATTGTTGTGAAATCCAAATTGGTTTCGCCAGCTCTTCGGGCTCATAGATCAAGTAGTCAAATTTTTTTTTTTATTAGATATGGTAGAAGTTTGAATTGATTGGTTATAAAGATTGCAACTTAATAAACCATTTTACCAAATAGAGAATGAAACAAACAAATACATTTGCATGATTTTAATGTTACCTTTAAATTTGGGTAACACTGATAAAAAAAACGGATTTTTAATTTTAAAATTTTTTCCCAACATTTTTCTCTCATTTCTTTTTTTATCTTACATTACATTCCTTTCCACATAAATAACCACAACAATTATTTATCTCTCGCAATTAAAAAATTCATTCGTTCAAACCTTTCATCGTGTTACCAATAATTACACCCACTTCTT